CCCCTGAATTCATGAATCAACAGTGTGTCAAAACACAAGGGGCTGCAGTCGACCCAGTAGGAAGACTCTGACTGTGACCCCGTAGGTTGTTTTGACACCCCCACGACTAAGGACTACAGGAAAGCTGTGATCTTGCCAACCAGTCTTTCCAAAACTGCAACTAACATCTTAAAGGAAACACATCAGACTTCGAGCCTGCAAACTTACTGTGCTGACAACGGGTCACAGTCGTTGCATATTCCAACGACAACAAGCAACACAAGAATAATGACGGCAAAAGCAACAGCTAAAGCCAGAACAACAGCAACCACAACCACATCCTCACCAACAAAGAGTGCGCTTTTGTAACAGGTTGCTCGCCCAGCGGGGGTCGCTGTCAACGCTGCCGTTGAATTCTGGTAATCATCTAGGGTCCGTGCTGGAATAAACTTGCCTGATATGTGACAATGGTGTTTTTGATGTCTGAAATCCAGGTGGAATCCTAGAAAGAGACCAAAAGCAACCGAATTCTCAGTGGATAAGTTCTGCCTTCAATAGCACTTTGAGCGCAAGGACGATATGGTGGAACCATATTGTGCTTATGTCATGGCCTGGAATGTGGGTCTGTGACTTGGCAAGGACTGGTAGGTCTTTGTGGAAAGCTGGTGAAGCAGTGGTCGGAGTGGCATATTTTTGCTGTAGATTCGAGGACAGATACCATGATGACCATGACGTCATAGAGGATTTGAGCTCATGTAGTACCATGTATGGTTTTGAGGTTTCCAGTTGTTTCTAGGCATAATATATCTCAACAATGGTCAAGGGCCCCATTTCTCAATTAGCCGCACAGAATTGGGCAGTTGTCAAGCGTACCAGGTTCTACTCCGTTGGAGGCTCGTTCAGCTCCGGGAAAGCTGGCTCCGAAACACTCCGACATGATGGTTTGCTGGAGAAATAATATATATATATATAATAGCTTCTTGTTACTACTAGTAAGGCACTTGTTACTAGAAGCGATGCACTTGTTACTAGTAGCTTTTTATAATGATTATCATAGGAATCCATGACATGTGGCTCCAGTTTGTTAGATGATCATAAGCCTGCCATCATTCGGGCCTCGTCATAATGAAAGTCGTGAGTATGACCTGGTGCATTGTTTCTTTGCTTCTGTGCCCTCCTTGCACCTTTGAGCACTAGCCACAGAACGATAGCCTTGATGGCAGCTCTGAACTTTTCTTCAGATCCCAAAAAGTCCGTTGAGAGGACAAGCAACAACGCTGGGAACTCTCTTCTTCCGGCCGTCAGGCTTCCTCATGTGGTACATTCATCAAAAACACCAGGCAGCTTGGCCGAGCGAGAGGGCAGTTTGATTTGACGCCAACTGGCCGAAACGATAGGACTTGATATGCCAATCCCAACGCTCCTAGGCTGTGTTCCGCACGAACTATGAGCTGGCCAAGGAGTTGACAGACAGTTGTGTGTGATAAACACATCATTTTCAGATGATGTTGTTTCTTTGCAGGAGGCCATTCTTTCAGGGCTTTAAGATTAGACAGCTTCGTGGCCATTTGAGCCAGAATCGTGCTGCAACGACCAGTTGGGGGTTACCGTGATAGGTTCGGTAAAATGCTTGGCTATATCGATGGGTTCACATCAAGAACATGTGTCAAAACAGAATGCGTGTCTGTCAGGAGTCGGAGAGACCCTACATGTCCGCAGCAACTTGGAACTGTAACTGCCAGGTATTTGGCCCGCCCAATTGTAGCAACCTTGTCCGATCCATTGGGACATTTCCGACTGACATCTCCAAACACCAAACAACATGAGCCTCATCAGGTTGGAGGCCATCGCTAGTAGGTTGGAGGACATAGCTAGTAGTAACTCAAAAGAATATGTTATTTTTGGTAGAGTCTGAGTTTTCGAGTTTCCCGAGGTCAATGACCTGGTGACATCGCACCGCTCCCGCAGCAACATGGGGGGACCTGAAGTTTGAGACCGCACTTGCAGCCTTCTAAGAGGTGGGACATGGATGACTGGGCGGGATCCACGATATTTGTTGATGAATTGAGTGGCTTCCTTCATTTCTGAAACTGTGGCGCAGTTTGCTGCCTCAAAATCATCATTGAAAGGCCTTTTACCAGGTGGTACTGACATACAAGAGAATCGATGGGCTTTCATCCCAAGCAGCTCAAGACGTCTTTCACCACCAGAACCGCTTCTTCGCTTGCCCAGGGCATCACATCAGTTGGAGGACAAAGAAACCCACGGCGCGCGCTGCGCCACAAACCTTTGAAGCCTTGAGGCCACCGAAGCCAGGCTGTCGCCAGAAGGCGCAGAGTGGTGACCAGGGACACTGCTGAAAGCAGTCCCGGTCCCAGGGCCCGAGCTGCAAATTTGTATTGATAGATCGGACAGTGAGAGTTTTGGTGATTATGGGGAACCCCACATGGCCTGGTGTAGGATGTGTGAAGCATGCAGGGATGCTTTTTTTGTTCTCTTGGATCAAACTTGCAAAGCTCTTGGCCTCTTCATTGCCGACTTCGCTTTTCATGGGCACAAGCGACCTTGAAGTGCGTGATACGCGCGCGACATGCAGTTGCATGGTGTCCATCAGTAGCTCCAATGGTGAGCAACTCTTTAAGTTGTATCTTGGGCCCCTGGAACATCCACCATGGTTGTTTCAGTCATTCATAGCGTTCCTCGCTGAAAATCTGATGGCAGACCAATGGTGTAGGCATCGATCTCGACAGAGAGCAGCATATGGTTAAAGTCTGCACGCCTCAAGACATTGCAGTCAATTGGAATCTTCTGGTGTATTTTAGATGTCGTTCTTTGCTTTTGTAGGTATTGCTTTTCCTTCATTCTCTAAGTGCTGGTGAATTAGACAACTGTTTGTTTCAAATTTCCTACACTTTGAAGATAACACTTTGTGCAGCAGACTTCCATGCCTCCACGCTGTGTTAAGACCTTACAGTCATTTGCATAGATGTTAAGCACTCCAACATGTAATCGCTCCTGAGCTCCTTTGCGCCCCCTCAAGGATTCAGTCCAAAAACTTGACACCCCTCGTGATGCATTGATATTCCAACTTAGTACTCGTGGTACAGCCAGAGGCGTTTACCTGCTCAAGTGCAGACGTACTTCGCTGCCACTGGTCATTTCATGGTGAAATGGCTGGTTAGGTTTGGGGTGTTGTTATTTTTCGTCAGTGTTGTTCGGTAATGTTTTGGGTGCCTATCTTTGAACTAAGAGTTTGTTGTTTGCTTGCACTTCGCAAGTGGAAAGAACAGCAGTCGAGACTGGATGGCCCTATTGATTCCGCATCCCTCCGTTTGTCAGCCTTGCTTAGTATTGCTTTTTGCTTTTCGGTGTTGCAAATCTCAGTCATGCCTGTTTTGCGGCAGAGTATCACATTTCAGACCTTTTCTTAATATCAGCGAGCGGCAATAACGATGTGAACAAACCAAAGGAATACACTCTCACTTGCGGTCACTGCGCGCCCACGGCCGGTGCGATGGGCGGTCCGCAGCAGTCCTTGGCGCCGAAGCGCACTTGTCCTTTTCTAGTCAAACCTACGAAGTGGTCTGGCCAGGTCATTCGCCGTACGAATCTTCCGCCTACCGCAAAAGGCATGCAAAACAGAACGAACCTCCTTGACCTGATCCACAGACCACCTCAAGTACAAGCCTCCTAACAACAACGTCACACTCACTAACCAAGCACAAACCAAAGGAATACAAAATTCAATGTGTTGAACCTCCCGTTCGACTTGCGTTCAATGTTCGCACCCTTGCTCCTATGGCAAGAGCGGGTACAAGAAGCTCAGTGAAAATGACAGCATAACAGCTAGTTCCTGATGGCAAAAGAAAAGCGACCCAAGACAAATTAGATGAAGAGATTAAGACTCCCAAAGTTGTCATGTAGCGATGCTCATGGCGATGCTCATAGAAATTCATTCAATGCATCACTATGAATGCTTTGCACGATGCAACGTCTTCTTCCTATGCACGATGCTTGGCATGAGATTCGTCAAACTGGTGCGAATCAAATCAGGTGCGCCAGTGATGAGCGGAATGCGATGCAACCGCGGTTCTCGTCCGAGGGATCGTCCGACCGATCTCAAGTCGCGGAGTCGAAGAAGCGACCAGAAATCTTGAGGATCACGCTGTCGAAAGAGGCCAACGTCCTACATAGGTGGGTGCAAAGGTAAAATTGAGGAGGCTATTGGAATTCACCTTTGAATATTGTGGAACTAAGGAGGTTTCATCTCAACTGGAAGTGTGTCACAAGTGGTATCGGCCAGCAAGGCTTGAAGAAGAGACCTTTTTGTATTGACTGAAATCAACACAATGTATCTCCAGACACAGCCGCATCCTTCCAAAAGCCAGAGCAGATACGTGATACTTATACGTATAGTACAAACAGAGTGCACCAATTACGCAGATTCGCAGATTCGCACATCACTGCTTACTATTATAGGTCACAAATGGGAATCGGCAGCTTTGCACTTTGCACCCTGTTTGCGCCACTCTCTGGGCAAAGATAGAACTGGTTGATTTTGCCAGTTCTTTTTTGCTTGGCAGCGACTTCATGTGGCAAGTACTTCTTCTAAGCTCTGTGTACTTGCGGTCTTGAAGCTTTGATTCCTTTGGGTAACAACAACAAAGACACGTGACTGAACATTAAGCAGACAAAGCGTTCAAGAATACCACTTAAGTGCGAGCGAAGGAAGGTCAAAGCGCGTGTGTGCATGGACTGCCAAGTAAACGCAACAGACTGCCAAGTCTTCTTCTAAGTGCAACGAAAAAGGCCAGGCTGCTTTTTGCAGCATGAGCATAATGAAATAGAACAAAAACCTTGAGGAGCCAACATCATTATTTTCAATCAATGCAAATTGAACACTCGCACGTACATCTTCACGTTTCCTGCATACAATAGCTTGCTCCGCGCTGGTCCAACATGGCAAAGACATGGAGCTGTGTTCTCAACCCACATTGGCAATGGAGGTAAGCTTTGGTTGCAGTGCCGGAGCATTTCCTCCCAAGTAAAGCCTTGGTTGAAAGCCAACAGCGCCAATGAGGCATCATCCAGTTCGGCGGACCGTGCAATGGACATGGTGGCCTTTACTTTGTGGATCGCTTTTCCTGGGCAGTTGCTGCTGGAATTTCATCCAACCAGTCAATCGTTCCGAAGGTTCACTGACTCGCACGAGGAACAAGAAGACCCAGATTAGCCGTCAGATGCACAGCCAGACCGAGAACTATGTATCAGAGAAGAGCTATTTGGTCACGGAGTCTTCGGCGATGACCAAGACGGATTTGAGGCGTCGTTTGGCATTGCGCAAACCTTTGCCAGAGCGCCTGGCTTTGATGTTCCCGCTGGACGTAGAGGGAGGACAACCGCAAGATGCAAGGTTAAAGCAATTCGATATGAGTGGACAATTTGTGGAAGTCTCTTTGAATGGAAAAGGAACCCTCAAGCTTGTGGAGAAGCACGCATCTCTTTGGCGTGTACAATCATCTGATAGTGATGTAGCTCCGGGCACGTTGGTTCAGATGTACGACGCCACTCCTGATGCCAAAGCACCAGATTCTGCGCAGACCTCTGGAGCAGTGAAAAGCAGCATCCTTCACAAGTCTTCAGCAACAGGCGGAGGCATCTCGGATACAAGAAGCTATATAGCCTTATATAGCGCAAAGAAATGGTTTGATCAGATTCATTATATAATATATCTTCCATCCAATCAGACTTGATCAGAAATCCATCAATGACCGAACCATCACCCGATTTCTTGACCGCAGGCATGGCCTGGAATGGCATGGCAGGCTTCAGCCTTGAAGGCTGCCCACGAGACTTTGACGGTGTTCATGTGGCCTTCACCGTTTCTGGGCATCAAGCGATGCGACCGGACTTGATAGGACTTGAAGTAAGCCAGCGAACTCCCAAAACACAGCGGACCAAACTTGTGGGAGCAGTAGATGAGCCAAGGGCTGGCCTGCAGCAGTCCCTGCAACAGATCTAGTTGCCTAGTTTACAGAAAACATATGACAAAAACACAGGGTTCCTGTGCCGTGAGTACCCATGCTTCATGATTTTGAATTGCAGCCAAACGAACATGAAGAGGACAGCTGCTTGAGGTCTGGAACTGTCATGGTGGAAGCTGCAGCATGCTGCAAGAGCCATAGCTGCAGTTACAAGATTGGTCAGATCAGTGATGAAGATACGATGTTCGAAATCCAAGGAGGGGGAAGATGCGAAGGCATTGGTGTGTGAATTTGGAGCATTGAAGAGAGGGCTCTCTGACATGATCCCTGGCGAAAGCCGGAGGTTTTGGATTCCCGGCGATGTGAAGGCTGGGCACTGAGCAGGGAAAGAAAGGCTTTGCTAACGTCTGGCAAAGATTCCGCATTGCAAATTATCCAATAAGTATATATGGATGGATGGATGGATGGATGGATGGATGGATGGATGGATGGATG